TGAAAAATTCTACACACTGTAAGAAAAAGGAGATTAGGAGGGAATCCACAGATAAAAAAGACTGAAAATGCCTTTCAAGTAAGCTTTTTAAAATACATCTAAGGATGTGATACATCTAAGGGGTGATAAAACTATAAAGACACCCAAATCGTGATTACTGTGAAAGTCGGGGTAGTGGTCACCTTTGGAAGGAGGAAGGTGGTTGGGGAGCGGGGGGAGTCCAGAGAGGGCTCCTGGGGTTGCTGCAAAGTTCTATTTTGCGATCTGGATTGTGGATACAAAGATGTACATCTTCTAATAATTAAGCTATACATTTGGTTTGATTGACTTTTCTACATCTGTGTTTTACTATGTGATTTAGGGGAAAAAATATTAAAAAGAAAAACCACCTCTAACACAGGGGTTGGCCTTTTTTTTTTTTCCCCAAAGGGCCAGATAGAAAATATTTTATTTAGGGGGGCCTGGGTGGCTCAGTCGTTAAGCATCTGCCTTCGGCTCAGGTCATGATCTCAGGGTCCTGGGATCGAGCCCCGCATCGGACTCCCAGCTCTGCGGGAAGCCTGCTTCTCCCTCTCCCACTGCCCCTGCTTGTGTTCCCTCTCTTGCTGTGTCTCTCTCTGTCAAATAAATAAATAAAATCTTTTTTAAAAAAATTAAAAAAAAAAAAGAAAATATTTTATTTAGATCTTCCTGGCCAAGAGGCAACTCGAAAATAGGTAGGTACTTATATATAACCATTTAACATGTAATCATTTTAAAAATGCATAAGGACAAACGCGGGCATTGAGACCCTGAGGGTCCACTAATTGCTGAATTCCCGATCCCGGGAGGCTTCCATCCGTGGAGCCCCGCCACCCGTGCCCCCATGCCCTCGCTCGGTTCCGCTCGGCTCCCATCCCCCGCCGCCGCGCCCCTCAATCTCCACGTCTCTTAGCAACAGGAGGACGCAGACGCCACCCTCGCGTGGACCCGGGCTGGAGCGGGTGAGAGCGAGCACGCATGCGCACGAGGGGCTCCTGGCTCCACCCGCTCGCTGAGAGAGAGAGGGGAGAGCCCAGGAGCACCCAAACCCTACGACCTCGCCCCAAGCAAAAGTCTGTGTCCCGATTCTTCCCAGGAGTCCTCTACCACAGTCTTGCCACTCAAGGTATGGTCTAGTAGGCTAGGAGCAGCAACAGCTTCACCTAGGAGCCTGCTAGGTATACAGAATTTCGAGCTGACCCAGACCTACTGAATCAGTGTCTGCATTTTTTTTTTTTTTTAAGATTTTATTTATTTGAGAGAGAGAATGAGAGAGAGAGCACATGAGAGGGGGGAGGGTCAGAGGGAGAAGCAGACTCCCCGCCGAGCAGGGAGCCCGATGCGGGACTCGATCCAGGGACTCCAGGATCATGACCCGAGCCGAAGGCAGTCGCCCAACCAACTGAGCCACCCAGGGGCCCCCAGTGTCTGCATTTTTAACAAGATCCCAGGAAGTCCCCTGCATAGTGAAGTTTGACAAATGTTGCTTTCACGGGGCGCCTGGGTGGCTCAGTTGTTAAGCGTCTGCCTTCAGCTCAGGTCGTGATCCCAGGATCCTGGGATCGGGCCCCGCATCGGGCTCCCAGCTCAGCGGGAAGCCTGCTTCTCCCTCTCCTACTCCCCCTGCTTGTGTTCCCTCTCTCGCTGTGTCTCTCTCTGTCAAATAAATAAATAAAATCTTTAAAAAAAAAAAAATGTGGTTTTCACAATCCAGATAAGGCAAAGCTATAAATAAATAAATAAAACTAGGAATACCTCTTATAGGTTGAACTTTTAACCCCGACACTAAAATACAGCTTTTATGATAGGGAAGTTCCCAAAGCTGAGTTCCCTATGCTCAGTAAGGGTAAAAATTCCCTTGTGTCTTCTCTGACCATCAGTCCCGGACAGAATGCATCACTGACCTCAGGTTCCTGCTCTCAAAGCCAATGGGGAAATCAGGAAGGACCATTTCCATTCCCAGAGTAAGGGCATTGCTTCTCATGAATAAGGTGAAAAGAGAAGGCACAAAGAATGGGTGCCTTGGACCTGCCAAGATAAGTAAGTCAAACAACACAAGGGCAATCCCAGACCCAGGGAAGGCAGTGTCCAAACCCAGCTGAATAGCTCCCAGGAAACAGACTCAATTTGTACCTTAAACCCCAAAATGAAATTCTTTTTAAGATTTTTTTTTTTTAAGATTTTATTTATTTATTTACTTGAAAGAGAGAGACATAACGAGAGAGGGAACATGAGCAGGGGGAGTGGGAGAGGGAGAAGCAGGCCTCCCGCCGAGCAGGGAGCCCAATGCAGGGCTCGATCCCAGGACCCCAAGATCATGACCCGAGCCGAAGGCAGACGCCCAATGACTGAGCCACCCAGGTGCCCCTCTTTTTAAGATTTTTATTTATTTTTTTGAGAGAGAGAGTAAGAGAGAGAACACAAACGGGGAGGGGCAGAGGGAGAGGGAGAAGCAGACTCCCCACTGAGCAGGGAGCCCGATGAGGGGCTCCATCCCAGGGCCCCAAGATCACGACCTGAGCCAAAGGCAGATGCTTAACGACTGAGCCACCCAGGTGCCCCCCAAAATGAAATTCTTACAAATACAAAGGCATAAGTACTTCGGAGAGCATTTCCCAGGTCAGTAACGTCCCAGTCTGGTAAGTTCTCTCAACACGTATCTATCTTGAGAAACTGCAGACCTTAAGCTTCACTTCCTCATCCGAGGACAGTGGCAAATCAGAACAAATACATCACAATCCTAAAAGAACCACTTGGCTTCCCTGGGGGAAAAAAGAGACTGACTTACCAGAGAATACCACATTTAAAGAAAAGAAAATGATCATCTTTTAATGGCAGGGACAAATAGTAAGATGAAGGAAAAACCCTTCTTCAAACAGAGAACGCAAGAAATGAATTTCTAAAAGTCCACAACACAAGCTATAACATGGATGAACCTTGAAAACATTATGCTAACTAAGCCAGGTACAAAGGACCATATATTGTGTGATTCCATTTATATGAAATGTTCAGAATAGGCAAATCTACAAAGACAGAAAGTAGATTAGTAGTTGTCTAGGGATGAGAGGGCTGGGGGTAGTTAACGGCTTAAAGGGTATGAGGTTTCTTTTGGGATAATGAAAGTGTTGTGAAAGTGATTATGGTAACAGATAAGGACTCTGTGAATGTACTGAAAGTCACTGAATTGTACATGTAAAATGGGTGAATTGTACGGTATGTGAATTATATTTCAATAAAGCTGTTTGGAAAAAAAAATCCATGGCTCCACACTATTTCCATGTTAGTCTAAAGATAAAAAGTTCCTGGGGTGCCTAGGTGGCTGTTGGTTAAGTGTCCGACTCTTGGTTTTGGCTCCAGGCGTGATCTCAGGGTCATGAGATCAAGCTCCAAGTCAGGCTCTGCGCTCAGCACGGAGTCAGCTTGAGATTCTTTCCCTCTCCCTCCCACTCTCACTCTGCTCCTCCCCCTGCCTTGCTCATGTTCTCTCTTTAAAATAAATAAACAAAATCTTTAAAAACACGGAGTTCCTACTATAATATAAAAAGTTTCTGGGGCGCCTGGGTGGCTCAGTTGGTTAAGCGACTGCCTTCGGCTCAGGTCATGATCCTGGAGTCCCTGGATCGAGTCCCGCATCGGGCTCCCTGCTCGGCAGGGAGCCTGCTTCTGCTTCTGACCCTCCCCCCTCTCATGTGCTCTCTCTCTCTCATTCTCTCTGTCTCAAATAAATAAATTTTAAAAAAATCTAAAAAAAAAAAAAAGTTTCTGGAAAAAAATCTGAAAAAGAAAGAAAGTTGACATCAGTATTGGTTAGAGGCCCCAGCTAGGTTTCTCTAGCAAAACACTCCCATCTCAGTTTGGGGAAGAATTTCACAGTCTTGTCTCAAGATCATCAATCTCACAGAAATCCCCATCTGGCTTTGGGTTCCTGTTCCAAAAACATTGGAAACACCATAACAGGCAAAACACACTTTCAAAACAACTCTTAATTTCCGTGGGCAAGGGAAGAAACAGAGGATCACAGGATAGATGCTATGTGCTCTGTCAGAATACAAAGTTGACAATTCACTATTGCTATAGAAACTCAAGTCCAAAAAAGAATACACATTTCCCAAGGAAACCATGTTTCAAAAGTCCCTAAATAACATAACTCATCAAGAATGACCAAAAGAGCCCACGTGGATGGCTGCGGCCTTGTAGGTGAACACACTGATTCCAGATCTGCTGCCCCTTTTGGGCTTTAACCTTGGCAATGTCTCTCCTTAACCTGCTTAAGTTTCCCAACCCAAGAGCAGAGGTTATCACGAGAAGCCCCATGAGGACCTTGGCTGTACCCACAAGGGCATGTGTTGGCATCACGGTCACAGCTGTTACCATGGAGAAAAAGACAGAAGCAGGATGTGGAGCAGGTATCTGTCTTACCCTAATGTAAAGCACACAAAAGCCTAGGGCACCGGGAAGCTGAGAGAGAGAGAAATCTCTGCAGCTGTTGGTCAGGAGCTTCATCTTGCCTTGACAACCTGGATTCTCTCTAATCCCCAGGCAAATTAAAAGACCAAATGTTATTAAGCAATTAATAATGGAGCAGATGCTGTTTGGCTTCAGTCTCCATTAGACTCCTAAAGGGCCTGCTTCAGTCCCTAAGAAAAAAACGGTCATTCCCAATGCCAAGGACAAAGGGCATTGGCAAGTGTCTGGAACAGTGCCTGGCACAAGGTTGATAATCGATACATATTTTTTTTAAAAAGATTTTATTTATTTAAGAGAGAGTGAGAGAGAGAGAGAGAGAAGGAGCAGGGGGAGGGGGAGGGAGAAGCAGACTCCCCACTGAGCAGTGACCCCCCCCCCACACACACAGGACTCCATCGCAGGACCACGGGGATCACAACCTGAACGGAAGGCAGAAGCTTAATCAACTGAGCCACCCAGGTGCCCCTCAATATATATTTATTGAATGCTTCTTGAATGAATGCTGATATTACCTCTCTTGGCACCCTGTGTTCTTCCCTCAGCCTGGAAACACACACACACACGCACACACCCATGAAGTTGAATCCATGCCTGCTTACTGCAACTCCAGTTGTAACCCTGCAAAAGTAATAAACATAACAATTACTACTACAATATAGATTTCTGGAGAGCAAGGATTTTTGTTAAAGTTGTGACTAATATATCCCTTAAGGGCCTAAAACAATGCCTGGCACTAGTAGGCTCTAAATGAATATCTGTGTGTTTTGGGGTTTTTTTGAAGATTTTATTTATTTGGGCGCCTGGGTGGCTCAGTCGTCAAGCGTCTGCCTTCAGCTCAGGTCATGATCCGGCGGTCCTAGGTCCTAGGATCGAGGCCCGCATCGGGCTCCCTGCTGCGAGGGAAGCCTGCTTCTCCCTCTCCCACCCCCCTGCTTGTGTTCCGTCTCTATCAAATAAATAAAATCTTTTTGTTTTGTTTAAATCCTTTTGTTTTGTTTTTAAAGATTTATTTGACAGAGAGAGACACAGCGAGAGAGGGAACACAAGCAGGGGGAGTGGGAGAGGGAGAAGCAGGCCTCCCTCTGAGCAGGGAGCCCGATGTGGGGCTTGATCCCAGGACTCTGGGATCATGACCTGAGCCGAAGGCAGACGCTTGACGACTGAGCCACCCAGGCGCCCCCTAAGTGAATATTTGTTTAATGATGAAAGAATTAAGGGCCTACTACGTGCCAGGCAGCTGTGCTAGGCCAGCTGGCCTGCTCCTGCTGAAGTCCCCTCTTCCCGCTCACTCTACCGGGACGATAAAGGCTGTCTTCAGTCCTCCTACCGCCAGGGTCCGCTGTAGGAAGCGCGCGGCTGCCTCTTCACGTCACCTTCTATCCCCGCGGTGCCCTTTGACCCCGTGAAGTCACTGCCCCGAGTTAAGATGGCGGTATCGATGGCAGCTGCCGCCGGGCGACTGAGGCGGGCCATTCGAAGGTCGCCCCCCTGGGGGAGCCCCAGCCGTCGGCCTCTCTCATCGGAGCCCCCTCCAGCCCAGGCCACGGCCGTGCGCGACGCCTTCCTGAACTTCTTTCGGGACCGCCATGGCCACCGGCTAGTGCCGTCCGCTTCCGTGCGGCCCCGCGGCGACCCCAGTTTGCTTTTCGTCAATGCGGGCATGAACCAGGTGGGGGCTGAACCACCCAGATCGGGGGCGGAGTTTATGATTTTTTTGCCGGGAGAAAGGCGCCGCGGGATTGGGCAAAAGAAGCGAGGGGCGGAGCTCATGGCCTCTGGGGAAAGGGCAGTTCGTGGTTAGGCCAAGTGTTTGCGGGCACAAGTGCAGGCTTGGGGAAAGCTGCACTTGGGAACTTAAGGGTTTGGATTGAGTTTTAGGTCCAGGAATGGAGGGTGTGGAGTTTTATGGGGGCAGAGTGGTGGAGGAAGTCTGACTTCATTTATTCATGCTTTAAATAAAGATAACTAATTGATTAAATAAATGTTTATTGACCACTTAGTATGTGCTACACTGTGTTCTCTAAGCTTTTGACTTTGAGCACCACTTACCCTCTAGATTTGTCTTCATCTGTAAAATGGGCGAGGAGGGGGGACTAGATTAACCTTAGAGGCTGTTAAATGCTGACTTTGTGAGACATGCCCTGTGGTCTCGGATTTATACCAGAGGTTATTGAGTGTGGTTTGAAGAGGCTGAAATGGAGGATGAAGCCATTCAGTGCCCTGTTTCCAGCCACCAACACATTCCTCCTCCTTTTACCTTGCCTAGTTTACTAGCAGAGGGTCTCTGTTTCATGATTTATTTACCCCTCGTCTGCTCCACACACACCAGAGATAGGTGCCCCCAGGCTCCCAGATTGCCCCGTTGGCCATGCACGGCACTCTCAGGGGCACAGTCAGCCTTCAGTCTGAACACCCCACTCCCCACCTCTCCCTTCTACTGAGGGAATGAGAACTGGGACCTTCATGTGTTTCCAGTTCAAGCCAATCTTCCTGGGCACTGTGAATCCACGAAGCGAGATGGCAGGCTTCCGACGGGTGGCCAACAGCCAGAAATGTGTGAGGGCTGGAGGACGCCACAGTGACCTGGAGGATGTGGGCCGAGACCTTTCCCATCATACCTTCTTCGAGATGCTCGGCAACTGGGCTTTTGGGGGTGAATATTTTAAGGTGAGTCTCCAGGAAGCCCTGGAGTTCGGAAAGGGTCAGTGGTCCACCAAGAAGGGGCTCAAGATTAGTCCTGTCTCCATTCCTACTGTCTGCATAGACAGGACTCATACTGGACACAGAGGTGAAGTGCTAGGTGAACAGGTATGGCAGGAATGTGTTTCACTTCCCTAGTTGGATTGTAAGCTCCTTGAGGGCCAGGACTGTGCTTCTTGCCTAATGGCTAATCAGTAATTGTATGAATAAATGGGCAGGCAGAAATACTAAAATGCAGGAGTTAGCAATCAGCCCAGGTTAGGGTGGAAACACAATTTCATGGAGAGGATGGGACTTGAAAGAAAGGATTTAGAAGAGGGGGAGGAGAAAAAAAAAACTCAAGCAGAAATGGTAATGGTTTGTTCTGGAAACGAGGTGGGCAGTGGAATTTTGTCTTAAGTTGAGGGCTGAAACTCGTGTGGTTTGATTGGTGCTTCAGTGGGGCCCTCTTCTCACCCATTTTCCTCCTCCCACCCCATGTGGGTTTCCCCTGCAGGAGGAGGCTTGCAGCATGGCCTGGGAACTCCTGACTCAGGTCTATGGGATCCCTCAGGACAGGCTCTGGGTCTCCTACTTTGGTGGTGACCCCAAGGCAGGATTGGACCCAGACCTGGAGAGCAGGGACATCTGGCTCCACTTAGGGTAAGTCTGCCTCAGCCCATTATGTCCATTTCTGGAGGGCAAGAGGACTGGCAAATAGAGAGTACCAGCATCAGTCCTCAGAATCTCGGCGTATCCTAGGAGACTGGGGTCAGCCCTGTTTCCGCTCTGGCTGAGCTTGATGGAGAAGCTCTCATGGCCGAGAGGGTTCTGGCTCCCAGGCTTGTCTATCTCCCTACCGCTCGCCTGGCTTTCTCCTCAGGGTGCCTGCCAGCCATGTGCTTTCCTTTGGACCCCAAGAGAACTTCTGGGAGATGGGGGACGCTGGCCCTTGTGGGCCCTGTACCGAGATCCACTATGACCTCGCTGGTAGGGTGGGAGCCCCCCAGCTGGTGGAGCTTTGGAATCTGGTCTTCATTCAACACAACAGGTAATAGGGTGCTAAAGCAGGAGGAAAATCCCTGGCCAGAAGTGGAGAAGGTAGCAGTCAGGAGACTTTGATCCATTTCTTATAAAAAACAAACACTTAAATGGTGTTTACTGTGTGCCAGGCACATTTCTAAATACTTTTCACATAATAACTGATTTAACCCTAGTCTGTGCTCTTAACAGTTTGTATTTATTTACTTATTTAGAGAGTGTGAGGGCACACAGGAGCGGGGGGGTGGGGGGGACGGTACAGAGGGAGAGAGAGAGAATCCCAAGCAGACCCCATGCTCAGCACGGAACCCAGTGCACGGCCTGATAACACGACCCCGACATCATGCCCGGAGCCGAAACCGAGAGTCAGATGCCCAACTGACTATGCTCATAACAGTTTAAACTAGTCACTGCTGCTCTCAGGCCTTTGCTCTTTTATCACATGATGTAGCTGAGCTTCATGATCTCTGAGATTTTCTTCCAGCCTTGACCTGTCTTTTTCTCAGGGCAAAGAATTCTGTCCCAGAAAGGGGATGTGTGGGTCCAGACAAGGGCCCAAGCAGGGGTGAGGGTGGAGCTCACCCTTTATGAGAAAGTACATAGAGGAATCAAGGCCATCACTGTCTGCCTTTGGTGGGGAGGGGTGGATACTGCCTTCTGGTTCCTCCCACTGTCAGCCCCCTCCTCATTCCTCCACTTGCACTTGGGCATCTGCCTCACCCCTGTAATCCTGTGTGGGGCCTCACCTTGCACACCTTCCCTGGCCAGAGAGGCAGATGGAAGCCTGCAGCCCCTGCCCCAGCAGCACGTGGACACAGGAATGGGCCTGGAAAGGCTGGTGGCTGTGCTGCAGGGCGCACGCTCCACCTACGACACTGACCTCTTCTCCCCGCTGCTCAATGCCATACACCAGGTGAGCCTGCCTCTTCCCTTCCAGAAGCTATTGCTTTCCTTTTTTTTTTTTAATTTTTTTTTTAAGATTTTTTTATTTATTTGTGAGAGAGAGAATGAGAGACAGAGAGCCGAGAGGGAAGAGGGTCAGAGGGAGAAGCAGACCCCCCGCTGAGCAGGGAGCCCGATGCGGGACTCGATCCCGGGACTCCAGGATCATGACCTGAGCCGAAGGCAGCCGCTTAACTAACTGAACCACCCAGGCGCCCCTATTGCTTTCCATTTTTGTTGAGAATTCTGCATGTTCCTGCATGTGGAAACAGTGACCAACCAAGGATACCAGGGTCAAACACGAGGCTAGGGTTCATGTTTATTACCTGATATTGCCCTAACTCCTTTCTTCCTATTGTAGCCTAAGAGATAAATAATAAGTAAATGTATTAAAGAACAAGATGGCAGATTTGAACAAGATTGCAGATTGTGACCAGGCAGTAAACATAGGTGATAGTAACTAGGAGAGGGGGTGGGTACAGAGGAATCTTAGACCAAGTGGTTAGGGAAGGCTTACCAAGCAGATGATCTCTGAGCTGGAACCTGAAAGAGGAGGAGCCAGGCACAGGAAGCTCATTCCAGGTAGAGGGGACAGCAGATACCAAGGCCCTGAGGCAGGAAAGGAACACAAAGGTAAAGAAGAATCACATGGGATGTAGCTGGAGAATGTGTCCCGGAGAGTTTGCTGTGTAACAAACCACCAAACACTTTGTAGTTTAAATAACAACGAGTTATTTAGCGTATGAGTCTGTGGGCTAGCAATGTTGGCTGAGCTTTGTTGGGTCATTCTTTTGCTTTTCTTGAGTTCATTCATACATCTGTAGTCAGCTGCTAGGCAGTTCTACTTCTGAGGATCGGCTGGCTGGCTGGCTGGCTGGGTCGCTGGCTGGGTCACTGGGAGTGACCAGGCTGT